AATGCCGGGAACCTTTAACACATTTCCTCCTGTTGTCGCGACACCTCATCATAAAATTATTTTCGTTGTTACTTCATAACTTCAGTAAAAATTATCGTCCAATGGGCTTAGGCGATCCCTGTAAATAGTCTTTCGACCCACAAAAGGGTCGAGAACATCTGCAGTAGCTGCATTGAATTACTGTTGAATTTTGTATTTTAAAAAAGAAGTTGCATAAAAAAATCCCAATAGCATTTTTGGATAAGCCAAGTTAATTTAGGACTCGAAACCTCCCCCCCCCTCCCCGGAAATATGGTACAGTGACGAGTACGAGAACCAATACCGAGTCACTGTGAAAGGGTGTGTGAATGCATGTGTAGGTGCGCCTACGCGCGCGCATGTGTATGTGTGTGTGAAGGGTGAGTATTATTGTGCGCGTGTATGTGTCTGGTGTCTTTATGAATGTTTGTGTCAATTTATAAGGTCATATGAGTCTATGTATATATAAGTGCATATTTATGTGTGTGTGCGTATATGTGTGAATATGTGTATGTGGAAAAGTGTGTGCGCACTTGAATATGTGTCTACGTATGTGTATACTTCCGTGTATGCATGGGAGGACGCGGGCGCGGTGGCGTCTCTTTGTCTTACAAGATCGATGCTCTATCCGGTCTTGTGTACTCCAGCGCAGATTAATTGCCTGCTAGATAAAAGGACTGGCATGCTCCCACCTGTTCCCGCCTGCTAATTATCTCCCGAACTAAAGAACAAAACAGACTTGCTGATTCATTCGTTCAGTTTTTTTTAGTTGTATTTGAGTATACAATCATCATCATGTGCCTGGGAACTGGCGTAGGCGCTCATGATTCTCCACAGATCACGATTCCTGGCTGCTTGGAACAGCTTTCTTGATGATATCCCTCTATACCTTCGTTTCAGCCCATCCAGCATCATCTCTCTTGGTCTGCCTGTACCCCTTTTCCCACTGATCTTTCCAGTTGTCGCAATATTTTCCAGTGTCTCTCTTCTCATTATGTGGCCAAAGAATTGTGTTTGTCTCTTTCTTATTGTTGTATATAGAGATCGACTTTCATTAGCTTCTTTCAAACAATCGTTGTTAGTTACATCTCTGTTACTTCCAAATTCTTCCTAATTTGTTCACTGAAATTCCATGATTCGCTGCCATACAGCAGAACAGGTTTTATTTAACATTGCACAGGATAGAATGGAATGGAGGACAAAACTGGGAGCCCTATGTGTAAAGTATTGTCACAATAGGACAATGAATATGCTCTAACTGTGGAAAACTTTTCTTAATGCGGGCAAGTCTTGCTAGTCACACTCGCCATCGCCATGGGCTGTGAGCCCCATGCATACACAAAACACAGTATTGTGTTGAATAATTGTTGAACAACTTCACCATAATTATCACCGTCATTATCATTATCAATAGTTGTTAAACAACTTCATCATCATTATCATCGTCATTATCATCATCTTCTTCTCTTTTTTTTCTGTCTTGCTATTAAAAGGATGAAAGGCACATTGCATCGTGGCTTATAGTTTGGTTAACCGCGCCAGTCAAATATCGCGGCTATAGTCTTTGGAATTACAGAAAAAAAGTAGATCTTACGAACACTGTTGTGGCAAAATTCATATGAAAAAAAAAAAAATGCTTCAACTTCAGATGAATAGATTCCCGTGATTGGTTGCAAGCTTATCAACAAAAGTAAACCTAATACAAGGCTATGTCGTAGTCGAATACAGTGACCTCTAAAGTACACAGAAACCTCTGACCTAATATGTTAGCAAGCATTTATAAACAGCATAATTCTATCTAGTATAAAGCGGCCTTGTCCCTCTGATCTCTGTTCTGACATACATAATTTTGTTTTACGGGGCGCACATACTGGCTGGAAACTGCACAAACAGTCTGTCATGACAGGTCACATACTGACTGGAAACTGCATAGTCTATCATGACGGGTCACATAATGGCTGGAAACTGCACAAACAGTCTGTCATGACGGGTCACATACTGGCTGGAAACTGCACAAACAGTCTGTCAGGGCGGGTCACATACTGGCTGGAAACTGCACAAACAGTCTGTCATGACGGGTCACATACTGGCTGGAAACTGCACAAACAGTCTGTCATGACGGGGCACATCCTGGCTGGAAACTGCACAAACAGTCTGTCATGACGGGTCACATACAGGCTGGGAACTGCACAAACAGTCTGTCATGACGGGTCACATACTGGCTGGAAACTGCACAAACAGTCTGTCATGACGGGTCACATCCTGGCTGGAAACTGCACAAACAGTCTGTCATGACGGGTCACATACTGGCTGGAAACTGCACAAACAGTCTGTCATGACGGGTCACATACTGGCTGGAAACTGCACAAACAGTCTGTCATGACGGGTCACACGGAAGTCCAAGTTTGCCTCATTTACAGCCAGTTAAAGCCAGTATATCACAAACTGGAATTTATGTCAACAAAACTCTATAGATCAGGGGGTAAATTATTTCTTTTCCCCCACTTTAGTAGGCAGGTAAGTTGTACCTCACCAGGACATCACACAAGCGATAAACACTGGTGACACAAAGATCGACCATGCGGATGAGAATCACCCGTGTAGAGATTTTGGAAACCTCGTTCAGCTGTTAGGCACATTTATGGCCCGGCTATATTTAGGGCCCCCGACAAAAGCCAAGGTGGGGTCCCAAAAAATGTGCATTCCACAAGGGGACGACTTGTATTAGGCCGTTTACCCCCATTTTCGTGCAATCACAACTCGAAAGCTAGTAGCTCCCACAGTAGAAATTGTGTTCACATAACTCTACAGATTAGAGAGAATATTAATCCTTTCCTACATTTTCGGGCACTTACAATGCGAAGTCTGCTAGCTCACACATTGGAACTTCTATTCGCAAAAATATATATTAGAGGGCACGTTAATTATTTTCTCCTTTTAGATTACCATTGTAATCATCGAAAAGGAAACATTGAGATTAAATATGCGGTATTAATTGATCATTATTTACATACTGTACTTTATACATAGTTCCTTCTTTGAAGTAGGATGATAATTATATGCAAACAATTTCTCATTATTTGTCTAAAGAAGCGTAATCAATGAACATTTTCATTCCCCTCTTAGCACACACGCTCACTAACTACAGTTGTTACAAGCTCATGTAAGGAGTACATGACGGGTCATAACTGATAACTGTAAATTAAAAACCATTGATTCCAAATAGAAATAAAAACACCCAATTTTATCATGTCACACACAGACAATAGTCGTAGCCACTTGTTGAGTACAAAGTCAAGTACCGATATTACAGTGTCCCCATCTTTAGCAGCCAGTGAACAGTGCCAGTTCAAATGTTACTAGCAACAGTTTCAGTATATAGCCAATTTTGGCTATTTTAGGATGGGACGAGTCATGCAGTTTTGCTGAATGTGAATTCTCTACTATTAGAAGCGCTGCGGATGAAGTTCTGAAACTCCGAAGACGCTCTTATGCTAGTTCAGCTATGTGTATAACAAAAGCTCGCGATCCGTGTTTACCCGTCACCAGAAGGGGTTAAGCAGGTGAAAGGCCGAAACCTTCGACGAAGGCAATCTCTTGTGATGATCTGAAGCCTCCTGTTGTGCTTCCTCTTTTGTTTAGTTTCTACTACATGATATCAACAGAGCTGATGGCCAAAGGCTAGTTCTAGACAATCAAAAGGTCATTAACAGAACGTCACTGTCTTCACGGCACGCCTGAAAGTCTCTCTTTCTGTGTCCTTTTCTACAGTTTTGTGTGTTTTTATAGGCAATGTATCTTCAATGTTTTGTATGCACCTTCACTAAGGGCGGCTTCTGCCTCGTTTGCAGGAAACTACTCCCTCCATTAGCGCTCTTTTAGGCCACCATAACGCTGATCGCGGCAAAAACACCTCAGCTTTCGGACAAGATGCTATTCATGAGACAATTCCCTATATATGCTAACCGCGTTCAGTCATTAGGTATCTTTTATGACCGGGCTATATTGCGGCTCCTGGCAAGAGCCAGGGTAGGGCTTCAAAATAACGAAAAACTGCATCTCACGAGGAGATGACTAGTGGATGGATGAATCTCTAGGGATGAATCTCCATCCGTTTACTCCACTGAATCAGGACTCGCAGGTTCTCCACTGCATGAACAACTCTAAAAAGAAGTTTTCCAAACTTGCAGCGAGTGTTATGCTCCTTCAGAAAATCGATTTACAACAGAAAAAATCTAAGCACAGGATATCTTAACCACAGTGAGCAGTAAATACACGGGAATATAATTGGTTCATATACTTTACTGCAACATAACTTGAGGATTATCTCTTACTGGAACCACTCCAAATGAAGAAGGTTTTATTGTCACTTCATGTGGGTTTACAACTGAACATTCAAACCTCATGAATTCAACACAGATTTTGACCAGTAGCCATTTTTCAACATACTAGAATGAACCACCTGGCATATATTTTACTATGTTTGTAATTGTAGATTCCAAATGAAGAAGGTTTTATTGTCACTTCATGTGGGTTTACAACTGAACATTCAAACCTCTTGAATTCAACACAGATTTTGACCAGCAGCCATTTCTCAACATACTAGAATGAACCACCTGCCATATATTTTACTATGTTTGTAATTGTAGATTCTCAACCACCTGAACAGTTTTAGATGAGGTTTAGAAAATGTGAGACTCCTTATACGCCGTGTCCGTCAACTTGCAGTTTTCTTGCAATTAGGATATTTTGTGAAGATTCAACTTCATGCAATTAGGCAGCGTTTATTTCGACAATGTTATGGAGCGCCGACCCTTAAGTAGCAATGGCAAACTACTACAGATAAAATTGCCAAGTAAAACCACAAAAAGCCGACACATGCTGGAGTAAGTTTGTAACATCCAGTAAAAGGTTACGCAACTAACTGTGCTATTGTCAAGAGTTTTGTGTTTTATTGTAGCTTTAGACCAAGTCCCGTAACCTCAGACTTCGGAAACACGGGTAGTTCTAGTTGTCATTAACTGGTTCTCGCTTCTCATCCCTGTTGCTTTGACAATGTCACTGACGAAGATCTTGATAAAAGTGTCCCTGAAGTGTTTGCTCATGGTGCAGTACAAGACAAAGTTGATTCCGTTATTGAACAAGGTTAAAGTATCCATTAAATCTCCAAGCGGCTGGTAGATAGAGGTGAAAAAATTCGGATTAATTCCGCCCATAAGTTGGAGAATGCCCTGTGGTGTTTCTGTTAGTACGAACAGCACAACGACCACCACCAACATCCTTGTGGTTCTGTTGGTTTTTCTCTGCCTTCTGGAGTCGTCTTCGGCTTTGGAGTTGCTTTTATTCATCAGCTTCTTCCGGCGGGTTTCTGCGTCTTTCATCTGTTTGATAAGAAGTAAACTCAAAATTGCCAGAAGAAAACATGGCAGGAGCTTCACGAGAATGGCTTGGATCCACAAGTTAAAGGTCTTGAGGAACTCGTACCCGGGAGTATCATCGCGAACGCCGATGAACCAAGAAGTTCTGTTCATTCCTGCATCTTCCGATTTTAAAGTGTAGCTAACCGAGTTAGGAATACAGACTAGCGTCACGACAAGGCAGACGATGAACACAGTCAGTTTCGCTCGGTGGATGCTACATAACTTCGCCCCACGTCGAGGATATCGGATAAACACATACCTAAACACCGCCAAGGAGACGGTTAACCATATAGAGATACTGTGCACAACAACGCTGGATATAGCAAAGAACATCAGGTAATGCGCGTTGGCAAGTGGACTAGACAACGGTTTCACGTATATATGGTAGTTAAGTATAGCATAAGGTAAGTATACCATCATCGTAGCTCCGTCAGATATAGCTAGCCAGGTCAGAAGTATATTTGTTGGTGACACCATGTTCTTTCGGGTCAGCACCACGATGTTTAGACAGTTGGCGATGATTCCCAGAATGCAAATGACCGGAGCCGCGTGTCCGTGGATTGCTCGGTACTCGTTGCTGAAATTCTCTAGTCCTGACGCAGGCAGCTCCGTGTTGTTTGAAGCTCCCGTGACGTTTAGGAAAGTGCTAGTCGTTGGACTTGCTGACGTCATTGGCAAATTAACCCAGGGTGTGGTGACGTTTTTGTTTACTGAATACTCCATGATTACTTTCAACAGTATTTTGACTTTAGTTTTCTCGCAAAAAGTAAAATTTTTACCAGCTGCTTGTTCAAAAATAAATTATCTAAAATAATGTATTCTTGTGTTGTTGCGTGCAATTTATTTCACTTTACAGAATGAAAAAAGTTGCGCATGCTATTATAGGCCTTCCGTGGAAAAAAATCAATCACGTAACAGGGCCGTAAGGGACTCCAGTCAATTATCGTGTAACCATTGATACATTATTATATAAACATCGATATATTTTCCATTTGAAAACATAATAATTAAACAAATATAGAAAACGGAAAAAGTATTTGGGTACTTCACTTTGTATGGCTATTCCAAAGTACGCTTGATCCCCGGGTATGTGTCATTATACAAGCAACCAACTTGATTTGAAAAAGATATTTGTTGTACAATTCTTGTCAAATGTTTAGTAATTTGTTGGATACTAGATTTTCAAAAAATGTTTCACAAGAATCATTTCCGTTATAGCCATATATATATATATCTACATCCAATGCTGTGATGGAGAGGATTACTCGTTGAAGCCCCAATCCCTCACACGGTGCTCTCTCGTATCAATGTCTAGGCTCAGAGAAAACAGTCTTTGACACACGAACAGTGTTACGCTGACGGCCCCAAGCGAACAGTAGTAATCCTCTGACTGTTAAGAGTTTGCAGGGTTTCAATGCTAATTTCTTGGTTCCTGAATGTTCAGAAAAATCCCATACACTTGCTGAAGCTGGAGACAAGAAAATTTCCCAAGCAATGAAACGGCGTTAAAGACCTTGCAGGATTGGCCGAGCTCAGGTTGTAGTTAGTAATGGCGTCGTCTGTAGTTCTTCTCTGACTCCGCTGCAGGAATAATCTTTTCTTCAACCACAGTGGCCGCCGCTTGAAAGTTATAGCCATTAGCTTGATGTTGACCAATCTATGGGAGAAATAGAAGAAAAGCAGAGTTCATGTTAATGTACTGTATACATAATTACAGAAAGCTAGAGGACAGCAGCAATTATAATATCAAAGAAAAGAATGCGTTCTACATGTACAATCAAAGCCAAAGGGATTTAAGTGAAAAATACGGGAATTTAATATCAAAGCACATAAAAGGCAATCCGACTTAAGATGTATTGCACACACACACACACACAAACACACACCACACACACACACACACAGATCAGACTAAAACTGTACTTTATAAATAAATATATTCCCGTGTGGGTCCCGGAGCCCATTGTAGGGAAAACAACAATTGACCCACTGCCTGCCCAAAAGCATGTCGTAAGAGTCGACTACATGTGAGCTTCCTTTGAAATCAGAGTACATCTGCCTGAGAAGCAAGGAATCAACAGTCAGCTTGCAAATGAGTCGAACTGTGAAATGGAAGGGCACGCAACACTCAGCTTATGGAAGAGCACTAGAGTCCAGATTCGACGAACAACCAGCACTTTCTGCCAGAGTTTAAAGCCCGTGAACACGAAGAAGAGAAAAGATCATCCTCGTCATCAAATAATCATCATCCTCATCATCATACTCATCATTATGCCGTCTTAACCCATGTGAGTTCCAGGGTCTCTATTATGGGCGGGGGAGGGGTGGAAAAAATAACAGACCAGTGCCCCCTTACAAGCATGTCGTAAAAGACAATTAGTTAGGGGTGTTTTCTTCGAAGTCGCAGTACGTCAACATGAGAGACGAGTAACCAGCAGCATACATACGCACTAGCTACATATGTGAAACGGATGCGCAGGCAAAGCTGAAATACCGGAAAAAAAAGATTAGAATACAGAAGTGGACGAACATCCATACCTTTCCACCGCATTTTACGGCTGGTGAACGAGAAGAAGAAAACGAGCCATCTTCAAAACACCACCATAGTCACCATCATCATCCTCCGCATCACCATGAACATATACATACGGTGTGCTTTTTTTCATCACCATGAACATCTATATACGGTGTACTGTTTACATCACCATGAACATCTACATACGGTGTGCTTTTTTCATCACTATGAACATCTATATACGGTGTACTGTTTTCATCACCATGAACATCTACATACCGTGTGCTTTTTTTCATCACATGAACATCTATATACGGTGTGCTTTTTTCATCACATGAACATCTATATACGGTGTGCTTTTTTCATCACATGAACATCTATATACGGTGTGCTTTTTTCATCACCATGAACATCTACATACCGTGTGCTTTTTTCATCACCATGAACATCTACATACGATGTGCTTTTTTCATCACATGAACATCTACATACGATGTGCTTTTTTCATCACATGAACATCTACATACGATGTACTTTTTTCATCACCATGAACATCTACATACGATGTACTTTTTTCATCACCATGAACATCTACATACGATGTACTTTTTTAATCACCATGAACATCTACATACCGTGTGCTTTGTTCATCACCATGAACATCTACATACCGTGTGCTTTTTTCATCACCATGAACATCTACAGACGTTATGTTTTTTTTTTTAATCACCATGAACATCTACAGACGTTATGCTTTTTTTTTCATCACCATAACATCTAAATACGGTGTGCTTTTTTTTCATCACCATGAAAAGCTACATACGGTGTCCTTTTAAGTCACCATGAACATCTACATAGGATGTGCTTTTTTCATCACCATGAACATCTACATACGATGTACTTTTTTCATCACCATGAACATCTACATACCGTGTGCTTTTTTCATCACCATGAACATCTACATACGATGTGCTTTTTTCATCACCATGAACATCTATATACGGTGTGCTTTTTTCATCACCATGAACATCTACATAACGTGTGCTTTTTTTCATCACCATGAACATCTACATACCGTGTGCTTTTTTCATCACCATGAACATCTACATACGATGTGCTTTTTTCATCACCATGAACATCTACATACGATGTGCTTTTTTCATCACCATGAACATCTACATACGATGTGCTTTTTTCATCACCATGAACATCTACATACGATGTGCTTTTTTCATCACCATGAACATCTACATACGATGTGCTTTTTTCATCACCATGAACATCTACATACGATGTGCTTTTTTCATCACCATGAACATCTACATACGATGTACTTTTTTTCATCACCATGAACATCTATATACGATGTGCTTTTTTCATCACCATGAAAAGCTACATATGTTGTGCTTTTGCATCACCATGAACATCTATATGCGTTGTGCTTTTTTACATCACCAAGAACATCTACATACGTTGTGTTTTTTTCCAGCCAGCCATCAATAATGTTTCTAAAATATTACTGTGCAGCTTCAGTCGTCCTAGAGATGTGTTCGACGTCTTCTTTCAGAGTTAGAGTACATCTGTCCAAGATTTTCTTCGCCTTTACATCATCGTCATCACCATCATCATCATAATCATCTTGTGTCTTGACGGTTGGCCTGAATGATCATTCTTCACGACATTTTACAGTGTGCAATAGCATATTTACGAATTCGCAGGTCACTTTTCCTTATTAAGACGTTGCTGCCGTTAATCCCTGTTTTTAATTTTAATAGTGTGATTCTTACCCTAGAAAAAAAAAAAAAAAAACCAACAACAAAAAAAGTTTATCCTAAAAAAAAAAAAAAAAACAACAACTGGTAACATGCATACCCCAAATGTAAGCCTTAGTTGAGATTGTCAACCATACGGACGGATTTCGTTATTCTGTTAAACCACACTATAAGCATATTATAAATATGTTCCAGTATAAGGTGACAAGATTGCCTTAAAACAACTATAGATGTTTTACTTAAATAAATTTCGATTTTTCTTTTTGAAAACATTCTCATTTTCCTTGTTAAAATACGCCTCAGCACAATTTGCAGACGATCAAAGTCTCACGATCAATTTGCAACATCCAATAAAATAAAATAAAAACATTTACAGCACCGTTTTGACTCTTTAATTAAAATCAAAACTGCACAAAGTATGATATGAGAAAAAACAGCGCGAATACTGAGGCAATGAGGACTGGTATGAAACATAACAACATGAACGTTTATGGTAACGGTTCTACACTCAAACAAACTGCTAGACTTCAAATATCTAGGAAATATATTTACGGAGGGACAAGGTAACGAATATCAGCATAAGAGAGACAGTTGGAATAAGAACATGTCTGGATTATATTGCCCCCCCCCCCCCCCCAAAAAAAAAAAAAATTAAAATAATTAAATGGTTCAGCCATCTAGTGAGAATGCAGCCAGACCAAATTGCTTATGAGTCTTTTTACAGCAGAACATCAGGGTGAAAGGTGAGGGAATGATCAAAAAAGAGTCGGAAAATGATGTAGCTGAAACCTGTAAAAAAGATGAACAAATCAGTCAACCAAGCCACTTGAGAAGCATAAGAAGATACAGAAAACACGATACTGGGCTACAATCTGGTATCAGTGAGATGACAAAGGAAGAAGGAAAAAAGAAAAACATGTAAATTTTTTTTTGTACATGGGGAAAAAATATATTAAGCCCTAATGAGTATTGTAGCGCAATATATCTATATATATAAAAATCAATGTTTGTGTGTTTGTTTCACCCCTATAGACTCGGAAACTACTGAACCGATTTAGCTGAAATTTTCAGGATATGTTTGTTGTGATACCGGATTTTGAACCGTCGTGGTTTGAAATTCAACCTGTCATTGTTAGAGATAGGTGACCACAATTAATGCTAAAATATACGCAACTAATATTTATAACTTTAGTGATTTCTAATTATAGCCACGTTAGTAATTGCGCATGCGCCGTATTTACCATTCGCCGGCGAGTTACGTGCAGCCAACGCCTTCTCTAATACTAATACATAGAGTAGGTCGTGGTACAGCAAACAAGACTATCTCTATATTTGCCACAATAACCATATTAAACACAATTTCTATTTTCTGTTTTTTTTTTTCAAACAACCTTCGATTGGGGGGGGGGGGGGGGGGGGGGGGGGCGGGGGGGCGA